TCCTTTTTAATTGTGCTTATTATTTTGAACTCTGCTGGAGAAAATGGAAAAGATAAAAATCTGGTAGTATCAGATCACAAGGTAGATTGCAGCACTGTTAGTCTGTGTGCTGGTGTCAAAAAGGAGAGCCTTTTGACGAATCTCAAACTTTCCTGTTCTCCCCAGCTTGCCCGACAGCAGGGTGGCATTTGCTTTTCCAAGCAGTAGAGTCATTTTGGATGGGAAGAAAGTAGGCTTTAAAAAAAAACTTGAAAGAAAACATGAACATGAGGTATTTAAACAAAAGGCATGAAAATAGCAAGTTTTTTTTTTCATAATTGCCAGGAGGCCTGGGATTTGGGTGATTAAAACTGCAGGAAGTCCTTTTTTGAAGAGTTGGAAATGCTGCAGTTTTTTAAATAGATGGAGGTAATTCCATCACCATTTGTTACTAGGATCTGTTGTATCCCTTCCACTTCCACCAGCTATTCCTGCTGCCAATTTAGGACCACAGGCCTTTCCATTTGTCTTCAAGTAAGGCAGCAATTATCAGTGTCAGACTGCCTCTGTGAAATTTGTTGTTTAACCAGAAATGGAGAAGTCTCTGTAAAGTGTAGCTCTTGCCTCCTCCTCATCGCTCCTGCCCATGAACAGATAGCATCTTCCCTGTGGAATATACCAAAACAGACACCCAAAACAGTAGGCTGTGAGTGTTTACAACCTGCAGCAGAAGGGTTTTTTTAGTATAGTAGAATCATAGAATCATTGATTGGTTTGGGTTGGAAGGGACCTTAATGGTCATCTAGTTCAACCCTGCTGCCATGGGCAGGGACACATTCCACTAGACCAGGTTGCTCAAAGCCCCATCCAACCTGGCCTTGAACACGTCCAGGGATGGGTCATCCACAACTTCTCTGAGCAACCTGTTCCAGTGCCTCCTCAATCTCATAGTAAAGAATTTCTTCCCTAATATCTAACCTAAACCTACCCCCTTTCAGTACACATGTCCTTCACATGTCCTTGTGAAAAGTCCCTCCAACTTTTTTGTACTGCAAAGTGCTATAATGCTTCCATGTAGCCTTCTCTTCTCTCTGCTGAACAACCCCAATGCTCTCAGCCTTTCTTCACAGGAGAGGTGGAAGTGCTCACCTTTTATTTTAAGCAGTTGTAGTTCTGCATTTTTTTCTCCATGTTGTGCCATAGCTTTACTGTTACAAATGAGAAGTCTTTTCAAGTTTCCAGGAAGCCAGTGTTTTGAGAGAGAACTGAGAACAAAGATATGGAAAGTCGTATTTTCTTCCAGGGCCTTGAAATCCTCAGAGAATGCAGGATCCTTTATATGGAATCTTAAGACAATTGCAAACACAAAGAAAAAAGAGTGTTTTCTCTGTAAATTGTAGTCTTGTGAGTACCCAGAAGACTTCCTATTTAAGGGCCCACTGTGTGGAAGATTACCTATAGCTTGCAAGTTTCTCTATACAGTATAATTTCCATGTGGTGATATACAGACCTCTGCAAACAGAGCAGTAGAGCCTTTTTTAGGCTTAAATGCATCATTCTGCCTTTCTCTGGTTGGGCCATGAAACGGTGAATCATTTTGGTTTATTTGATTTTTTTGGTTTTGTCTTTGAGTTTTCTCAAGAGATATTGGAGAGACTGACCTAGTTTCAGCCCCTGGTGTCTAGTGGCATATTTTCTGACTATTGCCTGAGGATAAGGAAGCTCCCAAAGGAACAAGTGAAAAAAAAAATCCACAATATTTACTGACAATGGTGCAGTAAATAGAAGTGTGTTGTCAGGCATAGGAGTTTTAACAGTCAACTATGTCTGGGATTCCCTGAATAAAATGCATCTGCATGCTGCAGATGTGATGCTGAGTTGCAGTGTCCCTTTGCGGAAATTGTTCTAAAGGTGAGACTTTTCATTTTTGAGAAAAACTTTGAGCTCCTAGAATACATTATTTCACAGATTTAATATGTATTAATCTTATGTAAACCAGGGAATTGAGAATTTTTGTAAAAATATTAGATTTGCCAACACCATGACAGTTTCCTTTGTTTCTGCTGAAAGAGAAATTTAAAATATTAAAACATTGTCTTTTCCTGATATGGTTTAAAATGAAAACAACAATAACAAAAAAGCCCCCACAAAAATCCTGTAAAGATTTTATTTCCTCTGGTTTTAATTACAGTACAAATTTTGCAGAACAAGGGTAGTGAAATAATAGAATCAGTTTGTGTAAACTTAACATCTGAAGTCCAAGCAACAAGTCCTGGAAGGGCAGGTACACTTTGGACAAACTCTAGCTATTAATTTTCTTCAGACTTACAGGAATATTCCGGTATACATACTACCTGGATGTTCAAATCAGCATGAATATATTAACTATATTTTCTTTTTTGTGTGTGGAAAAAAAAGGATTTTAGGCATTCTTTATCCTTGGGAATATAATAACTGGAGAAGTGATAGTTGCATCTGATTATCTTGTGTGCATTGTATTGTAGCAGGTTAGAGATCCTTATATCATTCTGAGTTATTTAAGGAAGTTCGTAGTTAACTAAAATAGAATAAACCACCTTGTTTTTTTTGTAAATGTTTGGCTAATTTGAAGATGTTATGCCAAGATATGTTCCTGGATGTTATCTTAATTTTTTGTTTTGAATAGTCTAAACAGTTACTTTAACTGTCAGCATCCCTTGGACACTGCAGAGCTTACACCACTAGCAGTCACCAAATGTCTGACTTTCAGGCTCAGGCTGTTTGATTTATCAGGTGGCAGAATGTATTCCTATCTGTTCTTCTCCTGTAAAGATAAGTAGCCAGAATAGTGTTCAACATAAGTGTACTGTAAAGCAAAAATGTTTTTACGTGAGTGGTTCACTCTTCTCATGCAAAAGGGGGTTTAATTACTGTCACCTGAAGGAGCTAGCAATTAAAGTAAGTTTGTTCTAGCTCATTTTGTTTATTAATAAATTAATTTTTTTCTTTGAATTCTTGAAAGAACTCTTGAAGTGGCTAAGATACCCTCTGAAAATTAAATTCAGTGCTGACACAATACAGACGTACAATACCTACCTTTGTGGTAAGCTATATGAAATGAAAAACTTTATAATATTCCCATGCAGAAAAAACAACTTTACGCTGATTAGGAATGATCAAAATGCTGTTTCTCCTTCTAGCAACAGATGGTTTCTGTGAAAGCCTTTGATTCACAGGAATAGTACCTCTTTTGTTGTGGGTGAGGGCAGAATGAATCTTGGAAGCTGTTTGTTTCCTTTTCACACTTCTGCTTTTGTGGAATGTGCTTAGATGACAAGTATAGGCGGGCAGTGGCTCTTGAGCAGTTTTTTTCATCCCAAGACTAGCAATACCAGTTAATAGTTCAGGGAATGATGAAGCACTGAAAACCTTTGTCCATGTGCTTTATAGGGTCACTTGAATAATAAACTCAGTTTTCATTCTCACAGCTTCACTTGGGAATTTTGAGTTACAGTGGTTTATGGAAGTGTCACTTAATGTCACATGGGTTATACCTTTCAGGATGTCATGTGTAGCTATTTGTAAACCTTTACTGTTACCTTGAGGTGGGCTGACCTTGGCTGGATGCCAGGTGCCCACTATTCTGCTTTATCCCTTACCTTCTCAGCAGGAGCGGGCTGGGAAAAGAGAGTAAGATGGAAAAAATCTCATGGATCAAGATAAAGGCAGTTTAATGAAGTAAAAGCAAAGGCTGCATGCGGAAACACAGGAAAACAAAAACTGTATTTTCTACTTCCTGTCAGCAGGCGACGTCTTGCCCCTTCCCAGCGGGGTTTCAGTGTGCAAAGTGGTTGCTCTGGAAGACAAATGTAATAATGAGTGCGTGCACACACCCGACCACACCCCTGAGCTTTCACTGCTGAGCAGACACCCTGGTATGGAATGTCTCTTTGGTTAGCTTGGCTCAGCTGCCCTGGCTGTGTCCCCTCTCCAGATCTTGCCCACCCCCAGTGTACTGGCCCTTGAGTGGGGATATTGCAGGCACGGCCTTGATGCTGTGCGAGCCTGCCCAGCAGTGCCCAACACACTGGTGTGTTACCAGCACCTTTCTGGCTCCCAACACACAGCACAGCACTGTGAGGGGCTGCTGTGCAGAAAGTTCACTCCAGACAGACAGTACGTACCTTTTAGGTGCATATATGATTTCCATGCCAATATTCTAGGTACCCTTCAAACACCTGTGACTGTTGGGGTTGTGTGCACATGTGAAAACAGAGGGTGTGACTCATATCTCTATATGTATGTGTGAAAAGAGAAAGAAATTATACAGTGGTTTTAGGAATGAGAGCTGTTGTTAGTGGGAAGAAGTAAAGTTTAGAAGAAGGGTAAGTGTGGCTAAACCAAAGAGAGTGAAAGTTTCGGTTTTATCAGAGAAATAAAACTGATAGAACTGATAGGGAAGATAAAACAAGCATAAAGGAAATCAGCCTGATGCCATAGAGAGTCTTCCTGTGAAGCATTAAAATAGCAAGGAGATTTGCAGAGATAGGTAAGGGAAGAGATATGATCTATAATATAAAGTGTGCTTAAAAATTATTTGAAAATCAGACCTTAGCAACAGAAAATTATAACAAAGATATCAAGAGGATAGATTGTGTCTGTTTTAGGAAACTTGAGTGGTACCAGATAAATAAGCATTTTGAGAGTAATGTTTCACATGACCTTTGTAGAAACTTGCTCAAAAGTAGTTGACTACTTTCAGTGCATTTCTTTCTGTGTGAATTAATGTTTTCTAAAGAGGAAAAAAATAATCCTGCTTTTGTCTTACAATGGTGTAATTTTTTTAAATATTATTCCTCGTATTTTTAGGGGTATATCCATGAAAATAAAAATATGAAATCAGTGTCTTGTTTATGACTTTTTCCTCCTCGTGTTATGGCTGATGGGAGGGAAAGCTTTCTTACTTTTGCATGTTTATTGCATTAGTGGGTTTTTTTGGTGATAGCACTATTTTCACAGAGGTGAATTTTCTTCTTTTCCAGAACCCTGTCAAGAAAATTCCAGATTCACATGAAATTACACTCCAACATGGAACAAAGACAGTAAGTGATAACACATTTTCAACACTCCATGCTTTTGTAGAACTATCAGTCTATGAACTAAGTTAACCAATGCTGATTATCAGATGAAGTTCAAATACCAAATTTTTTCCTTAATTCGTTATTTTAATCTATGTCTTTTCTTAGTGCAATTGAAGAGTGTGTTTTAGGACCGCCTCTTCAGTTTCTTATAATAACCCAAATATAGCTCCATTTGACTCAACTGTAGTCTCATATTCATCATTATGCTTTCTGTAATTGTTAGAGCTTCTCTTCTAGGCTAGACCTTCCTAATGTTGACCTGGGTCTAATCTGGACCTTCCTTTGGTCATGGATTTAAAAGAGAATGTTATTGTCAGAGTTTCTAAGACTTTGCAGCTGAGTACTTCATTCTTCTTGAATCTTTCAGTGCCTTTTATGCACCATTCTCAGTTTCTTGAACCCTTGTTCTTCCTTGTCTTTGACTGCATCTTTTCTCCAATATTATCTGCACTATTTCTCCAATATTACGGCCAATATTTCTCCTTCGTTGTCTTTTAAAGAACCACTATAGGTTCCAACTAGGAACTATAATTTCTTTGCTCTATATGTTTTATCTCTGAGTAATCTCATCTTCTAACACAAATTCAACTGCTTTTACGTGCTGATTGATAGAATACCTGTTTTTATAGAATGGAATTTTTTCATTGGCCATGAAAAAATTCCAATCTGTTCCCCCGTCCTTTCACTGTATTCTTCATTCGTCATTAAAAAAGATGCTGCTGCTACTCTCTTCGGTTTGGTCCATGACGAAGGCTTTAATGAGAAAATAATACTAGAATCTCTTTTATTGTTATTACATTCATGTGAAAGCATTGTCAGCTAGTTAGGAGAAATCTTACTCATGTTGTTCATGAGAATTTTTTTTTAGGGAGGAGAAGAAAGAGAAAGGAAAGAAAACCAAAGCAATTATTTGAGGAAAATGCTTTTTTGTGATGTTTTAAACAGTCTTAAGAAATGTATATGTGTATGTTTCCTTTGTTCGATTTTATATAATTAATATGATCACAGACTCACTAGTTTTCCATTCAAAAATATTAATAAATATTTAAAATAATAAAATTATTGAAGTAACAAATAAAAATAAAACAAGCATTTATTAGTTTATATTTTGGATTTTTAACAATTGATTTCTTAATATTTATCAGACATTTAAAAGGAATTTTCTAGGAGTTTAAATTTAACAGGAAAGATGATTTTTTTTAGTAAGCTTTCAGAAATATAATTTTTTTAGAAGAGTCTATTCAGTAATCTGGCATCAAACTTTGTGGTCTGTCTTGAAGTGTGGAGAGGTGATAAGACTTACCATTTGCTTTATCATAGAGCTAGGCATACAGAAGTAGAGGGAAAAGAGGAAAGAAGAAACAACTGTGTTATAAATTAAAATAGAAAAGTGTTCACTTTTGAGACCTGTAAAAGATGTGTTGTATTGCACTAAACAGAGTGGATTTTTCTACATACAGTGCATGCAACTTCATTGCATTCTAATTTCTATGAATACTACAGTCTGCAGAGTAGTGTATTAGTGCAAACCAGTTTCCCATTTTACATGTGACAGTAACTGCTTCTGCAGTATGTTTCTTGAATACATTTCCTAACAAACTTTGTTAGGTAAAATGTTTTGAATTATATTTCGCTATATTAAAGCAGTAAATCTTTTCATAGCTTCTTAAAGAATAAGCTCATGTTCTTTCTAACTGAAAAGCTTTGTAAAGTGGAAGTTTCTTTTTTGGAAGATTTCTGAGGTATTTTGACTGCAGGAGAATGGAGCTGTCATCACCTACAACAGAGATGAATTGTCATGTGGGGTATATATAGAACAGTTGGATTAGACTGGATGCGGTAGATGAAACATATCCTTGAAAAAAAGCACTCTTCTGTGGAAGGGCTATCTTTTTGGGGTTTTTTGTTTGTTTTAGAATAGTGAAACTAATTACTTGTGAGCCTAGACACTCATAAGGATGGGAGCAAATTTGTATCTTGATTTCGGTGTTTCACCTTAATGTTTTTAAATACAGTTGTCTCATTATGTTCATACAGTGTACTGTATTTCAGCTAAACTTATGTATACCATCTGTACCTCTTCAATCTAGTGAATGTGGATTTGATGATGACTCTATTCCTGTGCAGCTGAGAAGTCTCAGAAAAGATTTCCCAAGCTGGAGAGCCTTTCCAGAAACCTGATTAATTTCCTGGTTGTCTTGCTTGTACAGAATAATAGGAGTTACTATTCCCAGTGAAACTTCAGAGATATATGTATATTTTTTTTCTCCTGGCACATTTTATATATAGGTGGGTATGAGAAAGAATATATAATCAGAAGTATTCTGAGCATTTTGCTTTCTGTAACATCTCATATCACAGCTGCTCCTTCATGTAGTAGTTATTGTAGAATGGAACACTTGAGTGTTGTGATTAATCTGGAGATACCCAGTTTTCCTGCATGTCAGAAATCATGAATGAAATGACTGGGGTTCAAAATTTCCATTGAAGTTGTAAAAGGGGCGAATATTTTTTTTCAGAAACACATAAGAGGTTACATCCATTTCATTTGAAAATCAATTATGTGATGGTGACATAGTCACTATGTGGAGTTTAATGTGTTCTTAGGGATAGCACAAAGCATCACATTTGAACATTTCATTTACGGAAATAAAAAGAAAAATGTTGAACCTATTCACTCTTGTATGTATTTTTGGGGACACTGCATTAGGGCATTTGATCATCTTTTGCATTCTTTAGAATAATGAGGTTTTAGACTTTATGTAAAAGATAAGATTTCTGCAAGTGAACGCCTCTAAATTAGAATGCAGGACATTTAGGTTAAGGAGGAGTCAAATGTCTCGTGCATGGGAGCATCATTTCTGCCACATCTTGGTTTCCTTGAAAGTACTATTTTCAAACTGTTGGCTGTACGAGAGCATTGTATGTTTGAAATACTGTGAGGTACCTGTGTTACAGAATCATAGAATATTCTGAGTTGGAAGGGACCCACGAGGATCATTGAGTCCAACTCCTGGCCCTGCACAGGACTATCCAAGACTCTCCAAGAATCACACCATGTGTCTGAGAGTATCGCCCAAACATTTCTTGGACTCTGTCAGGCTTGGTGCTGTGACCACTGGGGAGCCTATTCCAGTGCCCAACCACCCTCTGGGTGAAGACCGTTTTTCTAATATCCAACGTAAATCTCCCCTGACGCAACTTCAGGCCATTCCCTCAGGTCCTGTCACTGGTCACCACAGAGAAGAGATCGGTGTCTGCCCCTTCACTTTCCCTCATGAGGAAGCTGAGGAGTCTCCCCTCAGCCTCCTCTACCCCGGCTGAACAGGTGACCTCAGCCCCTCCTCATACAGCTTTCTCTCCAGACCCTCCACCATCCTTGTTGTCCTCTTTGGACACTCCCTAATAGCACAGTGTATTTGTTATGTTGTGGTGCCCCAAACTACACAGAGAACTCGAGGTGAGACTGCTCCAGTGCAGAGATGAGTGGGACAATCCCCTCCCTCGACCAGCTGGTGATGATGGGCCCAATGCCTCCCAGGACACGGTTGGCCCTTCTGGCTGCCAAGGCACTGCTGACTCATGTTCAACTTGCCATTGACCACGACCCCACTCCCAGGTCTCTTTCCACAGTGCTGCTCTCCAGCCTCTCATTCCCCGGTCTATACACACAACCAGGGTTTCCCTGTCCCAGCAGAATCCAGCACTTGCCTTTATTAAAGGTCATACAGTTGGTGACTGCCCATTGCCATTTGTTGAGGTGTCTCTGCAATTCCTTTTTGCCCTGGAGAGAGTCAGTAGCTCCTCCCAATTTTGTGTCATCTACAAACATACTTAGTATTTGAGTCCTGAATACAAGTCATTAATGAAGATACTGAGGAGAACTGGGCCAAGGATGGAGCCCTGCGAAACCCTGCTAGTGACAGGTCACCAGTCTGGTGTTACTCCATTACCCTCTGTGCTTGACCTGTGAGACAATTGCTCACCCACCCCGTGATGTGTTTATCCAGTTGTGGGCTGGACAGTTTGTCCAGAAGGATCCTGTGAGAAACAGTATCAAAAACTTTACTGAAATCCAAAAACATTACATCAACTGGCTTCCCTTGATCAGCTAGGTGGGTTACCTTGTTTTAAAGGGAAATCAGATTTGAAAAGCAGGACTTTCTTCTCATGAGGCTGTGCTGGCTGTGACCGATGACTGTATGATCCATCAGGTGTTTTTCAATACCTCCCAGAATAATATTTTCCATGATTTTACCCTATATTTCTGGGGTCCTTCTTGCCCTCCTTGGAAATCAGGACAATGTTCACCAGCTTCCAGTCAGCTGGAACCTCTCCGAATTCCCAAGACTGTTCAAAAATCATTGTGAGGGGTTTTGTGATGACATCAGACAACTCTGTAAGGATTCTGGAGAGAATCCCATCAGACCCCATAGATTTTTAGGATTGCAGCTGAAGCAGCAGATCCTGCACAATTTCAAGGTCAGCTGGGAGTTGATCATTCTTGCAGTCATGGTCCTCCAGCTTAGGGCACTCCACTGCCTTTTGCCATTAATGTATTTGAAAAAACTCTTTTTATTGTCCCCCATGTTTCTGGCAGCTTCAATTCCAATTGAGCTTCTGCTGCACGACTTTTCTCTCTACAGTAACAAGCAGCATCTCTGTATTCTTCCCATGTTGCTTGACCTTGCTTCCAGTGGGCATACACCTATCTCTTTTGACTTATATCCAAGAGAAGATTCCTGTTCAGCCAAGCTGGCCTTCTGCCTTGCCTGCTTGACTTCCAACATTTGGGACCAGCATGGACCTTGTCAGGGGAAGGTGACTAGCAGTGAGTCTTTTATAAAATTAGGAATAACTAAGTGAACCTTTTCTACATGAAACTGGAAAAAGAAGACTCAAAACAAGCCCATACTATTTCATTTAAGGAAATCTAAATTTTAACAAAGCAAATTGTCCATCTTTGAGAATATATTCCATTCTTACATGCTGTTTTTATTGGGACAGTTGTTTTTTCTAGGTTACTTTTTCAACTGGGCACGAAAAAGGGAATATCTCATGGTAAATTCCATGTTTTAAAATGTCTTCTGTGGGAACTATTCAACAGTTTACGTTAAGTTTTAAAAGTCTCCATAACACAGTGTATATACTAAAACTTGGAAAAAAACCCAGTACAGTAGTAGACTGATATATCTTTGAGACAAGATTTTTCTGGTGGTACTTGAGTGTGTCTGCGTTAAATCATGATGACTGTAGGTACTTTTCATATATATGTGTAAGGAAGATACATACATATAGGTAAGCATCCTTATGTGCAAATTACTGTAATCTTTGTACCTGAGGGTTTTTTTTTTTTTTGGTGACACCTGAAGAATTGTAAAAAAAAAAATCATAGAAAAAATAAAGAACTTGAGCGATTATATTTTCTTTTCTGTACAGGTTTCTGCTTTGGGGTTAGATCCTTCAGGTGCTCGTTTGATAACTGGTGGATATGACTATGATGTAAAATTTTGGGATTTTGCTGGAATGGATGCCTCTCTCCAAGCTTTTCGGTCACTCCAGCCTTGTGAATGGTAAGCATGAAGACTGTCTTTTACACTTAAGAACGTACCTATGTTAAGCTCCTGGTAGAATGCACAAAAGCCTTGTAAGATAGCTTGCTTATAAGGCTCTTGTACGTACCATTGTATTTTTTGTAGTAAATGGAATGTGAACCTAAGAACTTGTCTGTGTCTTTTCATGCTTTTTTCGATGACTTGCATATTTTCCCATTTTAGAAAGCTACAGGTGAATTTGCAGATGAATTTGTTAACAGCACATCAGAAAATTGCCCTCACAAAGAGATAAATTTACTTTCATAGTTGTAACTGAAGTTAATAGAATACACTTTCTATAGTAGTGCTTATATAAAATTAATTAAGAAGAGAAGAAAGTTAAAGCAATTGACCCCTTTGTGGAGAGCCTCTCTAGTTGCTGCCAGGATTTCTGAGGGGGAGGATGTTTTATCTAATTGTCACAAAGCCCTCTATTTCAGGATGCACTGGTCCTTTGCATTGCATCAATCATTGAATAGCTACATAATGTGAAATACTGTCTTTTTTAAAGAAAAAAAGCTATATGTTTATTTACATTTACTTCTGTGTTTCTATATATGCACACTAAAAAGAAAATGCAGAAAGAGAGTAATTTCCATATTCTCCATACTGTTCACTTGTAATTTAAAAAGTAAGTGAAAAGAGTTCATTTACTTATTCTAGAGAACTGGAATGCAGAATTCTTTCAACAGTATTGCTCAGTGAAGTTTCAGATAAATACATTCATAAAATAAACCACGTTTTTTTAGCAAGGTACTTTCTAATGTCTAAGTAATCTAGCACTTTCTAAAATACTTTGGTATGCTTAAAAAAGGGTTTGAAATTTTTTATGTACAGAGTAAGTAGTACTTTGAATGTCTATTTTTAATCATTATTGTCTTTAAAAGCTACAGCTGAATTTTGGTCAGTTTGGATAGATAGAACATGTATAGATAGAACATGTATAGATAGATAGAACATATGCCAAGAGTCTAGATAATGAAAGATGAGAAAAAGTTAGCCTGAAGAGGAGCAAAATAGAAAGGAATTCTGCTGTGGTTCTGAAGTGTGCAAGATCAGGAAAAAGTGTGCTTTGATGCATTATGCAATTATAATCTCTTTGACAAACCTGACTTTTTGTAATAAACCAACAAATGGCACATTTACTTTGAAAACATAATTAAGTAACCATGCCACTTCGAAATAAATAAATAAATGAATGAATAAATAAATAAGTAAAATAAAAGTCACATTCAGACTTTTCTGCCATTAGTTTCTTTTACGTGATTAGTTAGCAGGATATAAATGGTATTTTCTTTCCTTCTGCCATAACTGGGCAGCAAGGAAGAGGTGACAGTCTTTACTTCCACAGTAGGAGATGATTTTAATGAAGCATTTTCAAATTGAGCAGAAAAGTTCATTCCAATTTAGTTGTACTTGGTAACAATGGTATGACATAAATATAGTGTAAAAACCATAAGCACACTGTACATTAGTGTCCCATCCTAAGTATAGCTTGCAAATAAATCAGCAACCTCCTTTTGGCAAAAACTTATAGTAAAGCATGAGCTTAAAATGTTTGTTATCCCTGCTACTGTTCATTTAGTATATCACAAGAATTCACAAGTATTTTTATATGTGTTCTTTGTGAAATTCTTGTGGTTTGAGTATGTGGATGTATAAATACAGTACGTAAAACATAGATGGGAAATAATATTAAAAATAGAATTGACTGGTATGTTGCAAGTCTCATGTACTAATTTTGGGTTTAAAAAAAATCTATTTTTTGAATACCACTTCTTTATCTTTTTGTAAACATAAAACTGGAACTATATCTCTGTCTGATGAAAAGATTCAAATTCAGGAAGACGTTCTTTGATACTGACATTGAGGCATGCTGGTAAACACTATGTGGAATATTATATAACTTGCATCCAGGTATATATATATATTCTTATATTACGTTTTTCACCACAAAGTTTATTGCAAGGAGTATTAACATTCACAAACTTGAATTTGAAAGAATCCTGAGGAGTTTTGCTATGGAAACTTTATATATTAGCAGAAATCCAGATCTGGAGCCATAAATTTCATTTCATTTTAACAATGAAAGAGCCTGAGATCTGTTCTATATTGTCAAGGCTCCATTTTGTAGATAATATTGGGTTAATTACTCTGTTAATTTCTCTTTGGATTTGGGATGTAAAGTTAAAAAAAAAGAACCTGACAAAAAACTAATACCTCCAACCACTCTTCCATGTTAAAGGCAAAAACAAGTGTAAGACAAAGCTGTTACACGTGTAGAGAAAGTATTTGTGTGTCCTGATTCTATCCATGCATGTAACTCTGTTCTGCAGGTCCTTACAGAAAGTGCTGTGCACATTTGGCAGCTTTAAAATCAAAATGATGGGGATTAATGCTATTAAAAAGAACTGTTTTTATAAGTTTCCGAAGACTTTTGCTATAACATTAATAAGAATGAAAAATATTTTCTTAGAGAACTGCCTCTGCAGAGCCTTCACTCTTGGTCATGCTCCAGTAAACATCTGAAAAATGGTAACTGCTGGGACTTTGCAAATACTCTGCTTATAGATACAAGTTTTGGACATAATTTTAAAAGTTGTATTGCACAGTCACAAAGATGGTTGCTTTTTTTCCTTTAGGTAAAAGTTATGGAAATCTTGTCTCTCAAAGTAATTTTTTAATATGACTGATTTGGTAAATTACTGGTTGTGTTCCATTGTGCTGGGTGCTGTAAAATCAGTTGCTTTTCCTTGTTGGAAGAAACCTTAAATCTAAGATGAAGGCAAAGTTTATTCAGACTTGCTGCTACAGAGCTACTAAGAGGCAATGAGACAATATTGTTCAAATTATGAAGAGTGCCATGTTAATGGTATTAATGTCTGTAGTTTTATTTTCAGTATTTCAGTGTCTGAAAACAATTTTTTCAGAAGAGTCTATGGGTCTTTACATATTGTGGATTCTTTCAGAAATCAGATATTACTTCTGAGCTGTTTGGTCATATTTAGCCGTCAGATTCCCTTCTTACATGAGACGTGCACCAAGTGAAAATAATCTTTCAGTCTACTTTTTGAATGTTTATTTTTAGTTCTTACTTTTTCTTAGATTTCAACAGTGATAAGTGCAGAACATGAACCTGTGCTTTGGACAGGTGCTTTGTGCTTTCAGCCAATTTTGTCATTACAGTATGAGAAATATAAGTATTGATAGTACCTGATAAGTACTTAATTCTGCATGCAGTACTCAGGTGGGGCTCATGAATGTTTGTGATTAGGCAAGAGTGCTCGGAAGTAGAACTGAGGAAAATTTTTAATTCCTAAGATAAGTTTGTTCTGCAAAAGCTGAATCTGATGGATTCCTTAATCTAGGTTTATCAGCCATCTGCAGAGAATATTCTAGACTTTAGGTGTTGTTTCTCCTGTGCGGGTTTCTTTTCAGTTTCTTTCAGTGCTTTCTCTGAGCTTAATGTAGCTGACTATCTTTCCCCTCTTCTGAGAAAGTATTCATTTTTGCTCTTGAGGATCAGAGTGCTTTTTCAGACATTGCCTGTAATCTATTTTGGAAATTCCCAGATTTGAGTGTCTCTTTTCTATTAAAAATCAGAGTTTACAATACTCCATCCAATTTGGCTGTCAGTTGGTATTACGTAATAGGGTGCTTGAAGCAATTTTTGGCTTTTGAATTACAATGTAATCAGTTTTGCCAAACATTTTTTGAAAAAGAATCTTAGGCTTAGTTTACATTACTATGATCAGTGCAGAACTTTTAAAATAGGTATTACAAGTGTTTTAAGTGTTTTGTGGAGTAACTCATGGTTTGAGGAAAGATTTAACAGATGATAGCTACTACTGAGTCAGTCATGAAATAATTATTGTATAAGATCTGAAATGTTAAATTATAAAGTTACAAGTTGCATAGTTGGTTTTGTTGATCATCTGAGTGTTAACTTTACTGGTGGGAAATAGTGTTAAAAAACAGTTCCTTGAAAGTTACTAAGATTTGAATGCAGCTGGTAATGTTCTTAACCAAAAGGGAGATATTTCTTTGAGGACACTTTGGATGCCATGGGAATCCAAATCTAGATGGCAAATGCATTCCAATCTTGCACTTGGGATTATTCTAGCTGCAGAGCTGAAGCATTAATATAAAGTAATGTTATGGTGCACGTTCTGTTAATGTACCAGGATATAAATTCTGGCAGGTGTGAAGTGAATAGACTGCTTTGCATTCTTTTCTATCCTTGTAATGGAGTATAGGGGATCAAAGGGATATCTGCTTCAGATACAGCAAGAGCTGTGAACTTTGTTCATACAGTAGAATGCTGAGAGAAGATGATGAAGCTGGAAATGGGCTTCTCGTTCATCAGTCAACTTTCCACTTTCAGTTTAATTTTGTCATGTCATTATTATTCTATGAATTCTGTCCCATGTTTTCTCAATCAGTGGAAGATGAACATGAGTACACTGTCACCTAAGACATCGTAGACTAGGCAGATTGTTACCTACTGTCATGTTTCATGTGATGATGGTATATTTATCTTAGAGTTTGATGAAACTGAACCCCTGAACATAGAAGAAGTTTCAAAAATGTTGGGCTATGACTAATTTCCTGGTGTACAATGTACAATGGAGTGTAATGTATGACTACAACACCCCTTTACAGTAGTTTATAAATGACTGTGATTCCATGTTTTACTTTTGAGAAGATGAAAAAGAATTTTCAGCCCTGAATAGTTAAATCTGACACATGCTATTTTTCGATTGGAGTTATAATAGCATTCTTAAAGTTAAATATATTTGCCAGAAATTATATTCTAGTGTTTGATGAGCTGTGTGGTTGAAAGAAACATGACCCATGTGCACAGATAGAGGAATAAAAAGCTTTAATCCATTAATATAAGACTTTTTGCCCCCACCTTTTTGGTATAGGAGTGTACATGGGTCTATTTCTGCAATATATTTTCTCACCATTGGCGGTTTTGTTTTAGTGTTTACAGGAATGTTAATTGAAATGTTTTGTTTCTTTTTTCTTTTTTTCTTTTTAGTCACCAAATCAAATCTTTGCAATATAGCAGCACAGGAGATGTCATTCTCGTTGTCTCTGGTAACTCTCAGGCAAAAGTGCTTGACAGAGATGGCTTCCCAGTAATGGAATGCATAAAAGGAGACCAGTACATTGTGGATATGACAAACACAAAGGTAAAGTAAAAAATTAATTGAATGCCAGAAGCCTGCCCTGTCTCTGGGATGTGATAATCTCATATATTGGTACATACTGGAAGCTGTGGGACCTTCAGCCATGGAGGTTTGTAAGACCCAGCTGGACAAGGCCATAGCTGACCTGATCTGGTGGTGGCTGTAATCTGTCTTTGAGCAGGAGTTTGACACAGATGAACTGTAGAGGTGCCTTCCAACTAATGTTTCTGTGATGCTACCACAAATTAATCTATTTAAAAGTGTATCCTGTGAAAATTGTTCACTTCCTCCATAGCCTTGTCTAACCAACATCAAAAAGACACAACAAAGCCAAAAAACAAAGAAAAAAACCAGCTGTTGATCTGGTTCAGACTCTTACTTTCTTGTACCCTCCACTCTCTTTTGCTGAGTCTAGACCTCTTTCAAGGCAGGGGTTGGAGGTAGTTCTTTTGTTACTTGCATGCCCTGAGTGTAAGACTAATTAGCAACAATGTGTGTAGTTTCAGTGCTAGTTAAAAATGCAAATGGAGAAGGGTTCATTCATAGTTTTGAAGTACTTTAACCACAGTTGATTGTGTTTTGACCACTTTGCTCTTGTATTTCCACAAACTATGATACAAGGGTTCCATTTACCTAGATGATTTAAATTCAGGTCAGTTTCTTAAATAGCTTAAGTGTAAAAAGGAATGATAAAATCTACTGCTCGAACTCATGATAAAGTTGATTTATTTATTGCTTGTAAAGTATATTGCCAGATAACTAGGCTAAATGGTGTTTTGCCTAAAGCTGTTCTTGTCAGATGACTATTTCTTTTGGCTAGTGATACATATATAAAACCATCAAATAATAACATCTGCTTTAGTTCTTGTTTGCTTAAAAACAATTCACATTTTCTTTCTCTTCTAAATGTCTAGAATTCCAGTGTGTTGTGGTCCAACAGTCAAAATGCTAAAATATTTGTTATAATGCCTCATTAACTTTTCAGTATTTCTCTCCACATTCGTGCTTAAAACAAACTGAAGTAATTCCAGCACTGTAGGAGTAGTTTCCAAATTTCTCTTTGAACATAGTCAATGAGCATGTGCCTGTACTTCAAAGAAGTAAAGCCAACTGGACAATATATATTTCAATACTGTAGTTATATTCATAGTCACCATAATGGCAATTGCTTACTTTGCATAAAATCCTTACCTTCCATTTTTTCAGTCCTACAGAAACAGAACTGACTAGTCAATTTGCAGCTTTAATATTTTATGAAAAGTTCACCTGAGGTTAAATCTATCTTGACTCTTGAATTCTGTTTCCTAAATTTTCCCCAACAAGATCTTTGGCTATTATAGATTTACATGGAGTATGTGTGTGGTGTCACCCTGGTAGTTATTGTTATTCCTGTTATTTTTCTGTAGCTTGAAAAAATTTGTGTGACACTATATTGATGCCTGTTTTTTCATCCTTTCTCTGCATTATAGTTCTCTCAAGGAAAAAAGAAGTATGATTCTATACCATTTTCAGAAAGAAAAAATACAAGTAGAAGAATGTCAGGGTTTTTCTAATTCAGAAATGAAAACAAGCATGGATGAGCTGGATAGAGTACATAAAATCTGTTAAATCATTGTGATGTCAATGAGAAGGTCCCTCAGCTTTCATGTGATTCCACTTGAAGGATTTGGAATAAAATTTATAAAACCTTGTAAGACAGCTTACAAAGCCCTCTTTATGTTTATTTCCGTAGGGTCACACAGCAATGCTCAATTCAGGCTGTTGGCATCCAAAAATAAAGGAAGAATTTCTGACATGTTCTAATGATGGGTAAGTGTTGAGGTCTGTCTTTGTCAGTGTTTTTTGAGAGGCTTGTTTAGCTTTCGTACTTTTTTACTGTGCTCTAATTTGCTTTAAATATCATTCTCTTTAATCTTGAGCAAGTGCTCAGAACAATGTTAGGTGAGATCTGGAAGCAAATATATTTCTTTTGCCTCCTAATAATAAGTGTGTTTTATCGGTATTATTTTAGTTCTGTGATTTAAAATTACTTTTAATGATATTTCATGGAAGTTGTTAGTTAATTGTTTTTACAAAAATTTGTGGACATACCCGGTATTTCTTTGGAATAGAATAATTCCTGTAACTGTACTCAGTGTAACTGAATTCACTACGAAGATTGAGTATTTAAATTGGAATTCAAGTGGAATTCAAGTTTCACGTTAAGTGTAATTGAATATTTAATAGATATTGTTTGAAAAGTGTCAAAGAGACTGTTAGAAATTATTTTATGGCTTCAGCCTTGATCTTTGTGGTTAGAATCAAACAGCAAAATGTCACTGTGGCAACTGTATTAATTAAGTTACTGCAGCTGTTAGTAGCAAGTTCATTAATAATTTTTTACTGATGTTTCAAATATGCAAGCTCCTTTACTTGAGAGTGACAGAGAGGGGAAGGATTGAATTTCTCCACTAATGTATCTGTAGTGTAGTGCACTCTAAACAGATGATTTCAATTATCAATTACTTTAAATAGCACATTTGGGTTTTTTTTCCCCAAATAGTAGGAAATTATTAGGAAATTTTAGTTTCTGATAAGACTGTAGCAGAAACAAAAACTAAGTAAATAATATATTGTGCTTTATGGAGAAGTTAAGTTGTAAAAATACACTTAAGCCAACTGTATATTTTTTCCAGCTTGTAGACACAAAGGTATTACTTCATAGTAGAAAATATTATTATTAAATGCTAAAATCCCTACTTTAAACAGTTTGTTGATGTTTTGAATATGGTTAGACATTACTATAGTTTCTTTATTAGGTTGAATAGTTTGTAGATCATGAAGAATAAATTAAGATATTATAAAGATTGTCTAATTTTGTCCCGTTTAAGCAAGTTCCTAACTAATATAACAAATATGGATTCAGTACATCCCTGATGTTTGAATTGCTGTCACTTGAAATGGTCTGGTTAAGTGAGTGAAATCCAGATAACCACTGCTGTAAATGACTGCATAATTGTATTTTCAGAGACATTACATGGCTGACATTACAAGAAAAGTGTTTTAAACCCATTGCATTTTACTTCGTGCTAGTGACAGGTCTTTCCAGAATTTGGATATGTTGTGTGAAAAGAAACAATTTGGATTGCTCAATTTGCAACACAGGTCTTAAACGTTAAAAACAGTATCCCATCTGTGAAGAACTACAAGGTCTTCAAAGTTTAATCAGTAATTCTTCTTAAGACTGGAGCTGTAAACTAGAAATGAAAATAATAGTTCCAGTGGGAAGGGACCTACAGTCATTATCCAACTGCCAGACCAAGTCAGGGCTGTCCAGAAGTTAAAGCCTGTTATTAAGGGCATTAATCACATTAAGGACAATTGACCACCTCTCTAGGAAGTCTGTTCCACTGTGTGACCACCCTCTGAGGAAAGAGATGCAGTTTCTCATCTGTGAGTTTGGAAGGTGCTGAAAATAATGGTTGAAGCACGTCTACCATGCTCCTCGAGGCACACTGAATGTCAGTGTCTGAGGCTGAAGGAGAAGAGGACACAGGGAGCACATGAGGAATGTTAATGTACTATTAAACCATAAACTGTGTATTCTGTGCTTCTAGATAACATTTGCACCTCCTCTAGAGAAAACAATCATTCATAAACTGAATATTAGAACTGTTTGCAAGTTGTGGACTGTATTTTATCTGATTCCTCTAGCATTTGCATTATCTGTCTCTTTAGTTGAATTGTTGTCACCTACATAGAGTTAAAAAATAAACTAAGGAAAGAAAATTGCATTTCCTGGGTTGCATGTTGAAAGCACAAGTTTTCATGATGCATAAAGAAGTTAGAAAGCAAAATTTGCAAGTGGTGGTGTGGTGTCAAACAAAAGTAGCGCATTTTAAATGTGTTTTAAGTAAATTCCTTTAAAATATTTTAAAGACATGTTTCTTTTTATGTTAACCTGCTATAACTCAAATACTCACTTAGGGATAGTATTTATATGTATTTGACAGTTTCTTTTGGTTCCAGGTGATTAAGGCTGTAATAGTAGCCTGAATGAAAAAGTAATTCAAATGAGGGCTCTAGAATTGCTGTTGTAAATGAAATATTTTGAGAGATGGTCTGTTTCTTGTGATTTTTTCATGGCATTCAAACTTGCTATACATTTAGAAAAATCTTAGAAGCAGGTTTTGGTGATAATGTGTTCTAATTTGTGGTTGTTAAGCTATTTGTACATTTGTTACTTCAGACTGCAGATATATGGGTTACCAGCAGGGAGTCTCAGTGCATTTTGTATGACTGTTCAAGGACACAATGCTGAACTCAGAAAAGTCTTCATAAGAAAAATACAGTTCCTTCAGACTCCTTTATGCAAGAAACAGAAGCTGGTCAGCTTGCACACTGAAATGAGCCAGAGCTTAAACCTAGCAGTTACAGAATCAGTCTGAAAACTCCTCTTGTTAACTTGTATAAGTTCATGCCCACTTATGTGGTTGTTGGTGAACACATCAAACTCACACTAGTTCCCTTCACTTTATTTTCCTTGAAAATATTCCAGATGACGATTTGTTAAAACATGTAATACTGTACTTTCTTTTTTTCATCTTATAATCAGGGTTTGTTTGTTTTAATTCTTATTTTTAAACAAATAGCTTGACTATTCTGGAATTAGAGATGAATAATAATTTTCTTGGGCTTTTACTGATTGTTAGAAGTTTATTAGGTTTTAGTTGCAGAAGGAAGTAAGAAATTTGTTAGTTCACTAAGCAGTCTAGTGATTGATTAGGTGTTTGGATGAATAACACTAACCTAGAGATTTAGCTAAGTAGTGGTTTGAGTGTATTTTTTTGACTAGGTTAAAGCTTATGCATATATTCTCAAAACTCAAAATTCTCATATTGTCAGTGCTCCAACTTTACAACATTTCAAGTGATTAGAACAAAATTATATTAAAAGACAAACATAGAAATGCAATTGTGTACTGCAGTAATTCCTTAAAAGTTTGCATTACAGGTATGATAATTTCAGTTTTAATTAATTTGAAACTAATTAATTAATATCAACGGTTCACTTTTAAACATTCATGCAAAACTTTCGTCAGTATCAGTATTGACTTGATTTAAACTTTTTCTTGCACAAGCTATCTTTTTATTTATGACTATATATTGCCCAGGACTTTAAATACTCCACAACTATTCCTGAATGATCAGTCCGTTTTAATTGCATGTACTCCTTGCCATTCTAGATAAAGTTCAGATACAATGTGTGATCAACATTATCTTTGGTTTTCTTATAATTCCTTTACCACATTATTCAGGCTTATTTGGAACATACACTTATTAAGGCAAGGATCTTTATGTTTATCAGCAGTATGTTGAGTAAATCTAGAGAACTGCATTAAAGGTGATTGTAACAGAAATGGCAACATTAACACATTGCCTAAAAGTGGAAGAAAATTTTGGAAATGGGAAAGACTTTAAAAATTATTTTTCTCTCTGGAAATACACCTTAGCAGAGTGACCTATAAAAGTACCCTGTTTAAAGACAAAACTAGCTCTGTGTTTATATCATTCCAAAATATCAGTTGACTTCTATGTTAAAACAAAGAAGGAAGAGGAAACGGATAATGTTGTTTTTGTTATTTGGATGTTTTCTTATCACAAATGTGATAGGTAGTGCTGTATGAATAAGCAAGAGAGGTCAGTGATATTAAATGTTCCAGGAACAGGTGTTCTATGTCCCTACTCTCATATATTTTTTCCCTTTAGAAGCAGAATTGCAGCCAAACTCAAAATTTAGCAGTCGTGAACTTTGCGATTTGTCATTGCAGCTAGGGTTGTGGTTGCTTAACGGCTGGTTTACTGTAAAGAATTCCTCTCACAAGTCTTTTCTCTCTCTCACCCTCTAGTAAGTTAAAATAAAAATACTCTTTAAAAGGTATCTTAGAGAATATTTACTGCCATCACCAAGTGACCTCTGTAATAAGTTATTTAGGGACAACTTCAATGTAGACCTATCTCTAATTAAATAGATGGAGTTATTTCAGTGAAGGAGCTTCAAAACTTCAGAAGTATAATTTTGCGTTTAAGGTAAAATTTAATTCTTAGTCTTTTGTCAAATACATGTTCGAAACATGAAGTTGTTCTGCTCTATGGAATATGGACTTTAACTTCTCTTTAATCATATACTGTTGCTTAGTAAATATTCTTTGTGTCTTAATTAAAGATATTTCTGCCAATTGTGGTGTGAAGTAGAGTAAGTGGTGACCATAGAGAGTGTTCAGAAAGGAAAAGTGAACACATTCTTAAAATCCTTTTATTCAAGTTTAAAATTATAAACTATTTGACAACGTTAGCTTAGCTACCTTTTTAATGAAATGGATGACAATAAGCTTAATTAAATTTGCAAATATGATTTGTAGTTTCAAGCATGCAAAATACAGTTAATGAAGGACAAGTAGTTTGCCTAACTTAGGTCTGCTATTTGCAAGCATTGGTGTTTAGTTGATTTTTCTCTCCTTTAGGACATCTGTTATGTCCTAGACACTACTTGGGGCTTTTGAGATTTGATATGTCTTAGTGAACACTGCTGTCTTATGATGACTTTTATCTCAGCTACCTTTCAATTTTCATATGTTAACTAATTCCATCCTATTAACCAGGTTGAGATCTAGAATACCTGCTGTCTTGTGTCCCTCCCATTAGCTGTCTTGTTTCAGTCTCTGTAGGTGGCATCTATGAGTATATGAGTTCTCCATTATGACCACTGTTTTCTAGGTTTTATTAAGCCCAGAACGGCATAAAAGCTTGATAGCTTGACAGAAAAGATAT